CCCCCCCCCCCCCCCCCCCCCCCCGAAGCTGACCCTTGGTAAGTTGTGAAATGAGCCTCTGGTGAATCATTAACTCCCCTCCCCCGCACCGCTCCAAAGGCAGCTTACAGTCGCAGGCCCCCTCCTCCTGTTTTTCCTAGAGGGTGCTGCCCCCGCACACGCTTCGCCCACGTGGGGAAGGCAACGCCCACCTCACCCATTCTGTGCACCCTCCTCCACCCCCCACCGCTCCCCTACGCCCTGAGCCTGAGTTCAGCTGCTCCCGTCTCCTCTACAAAACTTGGATTGCATATGGAAGGATTGGGATCTGGGGGTGCCCAGGTTCCTTGCTAGGTTTGGTGGAGCGTGTGGGAAGTTAGAATCTCTGCATCTGTTTGAAGATGTACTAAATTCACCTTGAAAGTCAAGCTTTATGTTTTGTGCTAGTGCACATGCTGGACGCTAGGGGGCGATAAGCAACCGAGAGAACCTGTTGCTGACCTAACCCAGAGCCAGATTCCACTAAATCAAGGGCAGAAGCGCCACAGGGGAGTTAGACACAAAGGGCTTCGGCCTCCTTTCCCCCAGCGGCTTCCAGCTTTGGACTGTGAGGTCGAGCTATGGAAGACAAAGTCCTGAATCGGGGCTCGGACAATTCAGGAGGCTGGTTCTAGTCCACCCACCAGCTGTGTAGACATGGGAGTATCCTTTCCTCCTTTGTGGGCCTGAAAAGGAGGGGACAGATCGTTTCTGACGCCCTTTTTCCCACAGTAGAGCAGTGGTTCTCAACACCGTTAGAGCCAACTTTCCCCTTGTAATGCCCCCTCTATGCATAAATGAAGTTCATAGATGTTACAACTAATCTACAGACATCATTTTAAAAACTCAAAGCTAACTATAATAAAGAAACAAAATAATCATGATAAAACATATCGTCTCTCGATATATAAATGCTCAGGCAAACTTACCAGGATACCTAAGTGAAATAGCTAGATTGCTTGCATCTACAGATAATAAAAAGTTTGAACATAAGAAAAATAGAACACCAGAGCCATTCTATGGAAATACAAAAACCACACACAAGAAAACAAAATAGTAGGGAGTGAACATTAGACTACAAGCTAATACATTAGGTAAGTAATAACAGACCGGAGGTATTTGCATTAAGAGAAAGCAGGAAATCACCTTGACTGAGGTAGGGATGACATAGCAAGGCAAATTAGAGAGAATGAGGAAGTACAGTATGAACCAGGAGGAACTGGGTCTTACGTGTGTGTGTCAGAATAGCTCCCTGTGATACCAGGTGGAATGGGGTCGTGATAGAATATCACAGACACATAGATCTCTATCTTGAAATGCCATCACATGTGCAGGTAAAATTCAGTCTCCAGGACCTTAAAAGGCCTTGGAGATCATGTATGTCCAATGGGCAGTGGAGACTAGACGAGAGATTAGGAAAAGACATCGTGATAAAAGAGGTTTAGAGCAATTACACGCGGACCCCTGGGACAGTGCTGGAGGAAGGCAGAGAAACAACAAGCTATTCCCTTGAACACTTCCACATGTAATCGTTTCCACACAGGTGTGCATCCTCAGGCTGCAGAAGACTTTAAAAACATAGAGGATGGCAGTACTGTGAAATAATTTCTAAAAACTGTCATTAAGGAGCTCCAATGAGATCTCCTGCATTTCAAGTATCTCTGCTTTAATGATGTTTGGTTCTCTCTGGTCTCCTCTGCTAAATATTTTCACTCACTCTCTTTGCTTACTCAGTAATACCCTACTGCATTGGAACAGCTTTCAACCAAATGTGTAGCAGCTGAAATGTTGTAACAAATTGTGTAGGCAATGCTTAGAAGAGATTATATCATTTTG